TGCCCGCCTCCATGGTCATGCCTTTACTTGGACTAGTCATGAAGGAACGGTGCCAGGCTGCTGGGAACCCGTTCTTTGAGCGTTTTGGCATTGTGGTGGCAGCCACTGGCATGGCAGTGGCCCTCTTCTCATCAGTGTTGGCGCTCGGTATCACTCGCCCAGTGCCAACCAACACTTGTGTCATCTTGGGCTTGGCTGGAGGTGTTATCATTTATATCATGAAGCACTCGCTGAGCGTGGGGGAGGTGATCGAAGTCCTGGAAGTCCTGCTGATCTTCGTTTATCTCAACATGATCCTGCTGTACCTGCTGCCCCGCTGCTTCACCCCTGGTGAGGCACTGTTGGTATTGGGTGGCATTAGCTTTGTCCTCAACCAGCTCATCAAGCGCTCTCTGACACTGGTGGAAAGTCAGGGGGACCCAGTGGACTTCTTCCTGCTGGTGGTGGTCGTAGGGATGGTACTCATGGGCATCTTTTTCAGCACTCTCTTTGTCTTCATGGACTCAGGCACCTGGGCCTCCTCCATCTTCTTCCACCTCATGACCTGTGTGCTGAGCCTTGGTGTGGTCCTACCCTGGCTGCACCGGCTCATCCGCAGGAACCCTCTGCTCTGGCTTCTGCAGTTCCTTTTCCAGACAGACACCCGTATCTACCTCCTAGCCTATTGGTCTCTGCTGGCCACCTTGGCCTGTCTGGTGGTGCTGTACCAGAATGCCAAGCGGTCATCTTCCGAGTCCAAGAAGCACCAGGCCCCCACCATCGCCCGAAAGTATTTCCACCTCATTGTGGTAGCCACCTACATCCCAGGTATCATCTTTGACCGGCCACTGCTCTATGTAGCTGCCACTGTATGTCTGGCGGTCTTCATCTTCCTGGAGTATGTGCGCTACTTCCGCATCAAGCCCTTGGGTCACACTCTACGGAGCCTCCTGTCCCTTTTTCTGGATGAACGAGACAGTGGACCACTCATTCTGACACACATCTACCTGCTCCTGGGCATGTCTCTTCCCATCTGGCTGATCCCCAGACCCTGCACACAGAAGGGTAGCCTGGGGGGAGCCAGGGCCCTCGTCCCCTATGCTGGTGTCCTGGCTGTGGGTGTGGGTGATACTGTGGCCTCCATCTTTGGTAGCACCATGGGGGAGATCCGCTGGCCTGGAACCAAAAAGACTTTTGAGGGGACCATGACATCTATATTTGCGCAGATCATTTCCGTAGCTCTGATCTTAATCTTTGACAGTGGAGTGGACCTAAACTACAGTTACGCTTGGATTTTGGGGTCCATCAGCACTGTGTCCCTCCTGGAAGCATACACTACACAGATAGACAATCTCCTTCTGCCTCTCTACCTCCTGATATTGCTGATGGCCTAGCTGTTACAGTGCAGCAGCAGTGACAGAGGAAACAGACATGGGGAGGGCGAACAGTCCCCACAGCAGACAGCTACTTGGGCGTGAAGAGCCACGGTGTGAAAAGCAGATTTGATTTTTCAGTTGATTCAGATTTAAAATAAAAATCAAAGCTCTCCTAGTTCTAGTTTTGCTGATACTTATTTTTTATTTTTATTTTTTTTTTTTTTGAGACAGTTTTGCGCTTGTTGCCCAGGTTGGAGTGCAGTGGTGCGATCTTGGCTCACCGCAACCTCTGCCTCCCAGGTTCAAGCGATTCTCCTGCCTCAGCCTCCCTAGTAGCTGGGATTATAGGCATGTGCCACCACGCGCTAATTTTGTATTTTTAGTAGAGACAGGGTTTCTCCATGTTGGTCAGGCTGGTCTCGAACTCCCGACCTCAGGTGGTCCGCCTGCCTCGGCCTCCCAAAGTGCTGGGATTACAGGTGTGAGCCACTGTCCCAGCCTTGCTGGTATTTAAAATGAAAAGAGTCTTAAGGGATAATCCAGCAACTCAAAGAACCTGAGTGTGCTGTAGAGCGCCCCCTCTTTCACCCTGCAGCCTTGGAGGAGGCCAGAGTGGATGCTGGAGGGAGTAAAGCATAATGGTTAACACTTTAGTCTCTGGGTCAAACTAATCTGGTCAGAATCCTTGGCTGCACAGCTTCTTATTAACTTTGTGACCTTGGATGGCTGGGCCATTTAGTCAGGCTGAACCTCAATTATCTTGCAGATGGGAGTAATGACAGCCCACACCTCGAGGGGTGTTGTGAGGGTCCAGCCTAGAGCCCACCCTTGAAAAGCAGTCAGGGCCGGGCTCGGTGGCTCAAGCCTGTAATCCCAGCACTTTGGGAGGCTGAGGCGGGCAGATCACGAGGTCAGGAGATTGAGACCATCCTGGCTAACACGGTGAAACCCTACCTCTACTAAAAAATACAAAAAACTAGCCGGGCGAGTTGGCGGGCACCTGTAGTCCGAGCTACTCGGGAGGCTGAGGCAGGAGAATGGCGTGAACCCCGAGAGGCGGAGCTTGCAGTGAGCCAAGATCCGGCCACTGCACTCCAGCCTGGGCGACAGAGCGAGACTCCGTCTCAAAAAAAAAAAAAAAGCAGTCAGAAAGGGAAAGAGTCATTTCTACCAAAGACCAGTCCTCATCTTAGCGAAAAGCCGAAAAGCTGGGCAAACCATTTTGAAACCAGAGTGACCTTTGCTCTCCTGACTTCACTTGGAGGTGGAGAACCCCTGAGGGAAAGAGCCCAGGGCTAGGAATTACTGAAGGGAGAGGTGGGTCAACTTTGGCGGGGTTGAGGGAGGGTCACATCCTGCTTGGGCTGGATCTTGTATTAGCCAACCCCACCCCGCCTCTGGTGTCCCACTGAGCGGTACCCATAGAGAAAGATGGGCTGAATAGCACCAGGACCTCATCAAGGGGTCCTTCCTAAGACCCTTCCACATTCTAGTCATGTCCAAACCTGTGTGTGTTTCTTCCCAAGGTAGGAAAGATCCACAGGGGGTGGGGGAGTTTCCTGAGAGGTAAAATGACTCTATGAGAGGCCCACGCTGCAGCCTTGCTCTCTGGGAGGACAGGCTCTGGGACTGCCTTGTTCCCCACCCCATCCCCCAAGGCTAGCACAGGGGGCTGACAAGGAGCAGGAAATCAGTAGATTTGGGAGTCCATCTGCACTGTGTCCCTCCCGGAAGTGTACACTACACAGATAGTGAATGCATAAACATTTTCCGTCACTAGGAAGATAGCACAGCAAGATTCCTGAGACTGGACAAGGTTCTCCCTTTCTCCCCCAGCTTAGGGAGGATGTCAGAGGAGGTGAGAGCTTTGGTCCACCAAGGCCAGAAGCCAGGAGCAGAGCTCCAGGGAGCCGAAGCTTCTGCTTGAGAATCACTGCCATGTCCTTTCCCTCAGAGGAGAGTATCGAGACATTCCTTTGGGACTCAACAGAGACGCTTCCCTTCTCTCAGGCTCCCTTCTATTATTTGCAAAAAGAGGCAGCAATATGTTGGTAAAAGAGCACCAGCTTTGCCCCAGGGACTCCCAGGGTGGCCTTGGGAAAGGGTTCTACCCTCTGGGCCTTGGGTTTTCTATGTATATAGTTGGGGGATAGGCTACATCAGGGTCACAAACTCAAATGAACGCAGTGAACGACAACAGGGGACCTCACTGAGCCTCTAAGGGAGCTCCAGCCAGAAGCCACTATGCTAGAGTATAGGCCCCATGTTGTCAATTGCATGCTCATTCAAGGAAGCTTAGGAACCTGGATAGTTATGTGAAATCTTCAAGTTTTTTCTTAAATGCTGAGGCCTGGCCAGGCACGGTGGCTCACACCTGTAATCCCAGCACTTTGGGAGGCCGAGGTGGGTGGATCACTAGGTCAGAAGTTCAAGACCAACCTGGCCAAGATGGTGAAACCCTGTCTCTACTAAAAATACAAAAACTAGCTGGATGTGGTGGCGGGCGCCTGTAATCCCAGCTACTCAGGACACTGAAGCAGAGAATTGCTTGAACCCGGGAGGCAGAGGTTGCAGTGAGTTGAGATCATGCCACTGCACTGCAGCCTGGGTGACAGAGCGAGACTCTGTCTCAAAAAAAAAAAAAAAAAATGCTGAGGCCCAGAAAAAAATGCATCTGTGGGCTGGAATCAGGCTGTGGTCTCCAGTTTGTAGCCTCTGGGCCAACCCTCAGCTGAGGAGGTTTTAGATTTGGTAGTTGTTCTGAAGGTCTGAGTGCCTGCCAAGCATGCCCAAACAGGAAGGGCCCCTGAAAGCCCTAGTCTGGCCCCCTTACTGGACATGGGAGGAAACAAGCCCAGAGGAAGGAAAGGCCCTGGCCTGAGACCAGGGAGCAAGTTGCTCACGGAGCCAGGACCAGAACCTGGAACTCTGGATTCCTAGCTCTGGGCATCTCTGCTCCCCAAGAAGGGAAGATGAGGCAGTGTCAAGGTTAGGAGCACAGGCCCTGCATGAGGCTGAGCCTGCTGAAGAACCGAGCAGCTGTGACTTGGGCAGGTCATTTACCCCCTCCTTGGCTCAGCGTCGTCTTCTGTAAGTACAGATGATAATGGCACTTACCTCTCCTAGTGAGGATTCCATGAGATAAAGCCTGTGAAGGTCTCAGCACAGAGCGGGGCACACAGTGAGTGCCCACTAAATGTTACTTATTAAAATCATGCAAGCCACGCCAAACAGGGCTGGGGTACCTGGGATGCATTTTAGCATCTTGTCTGGAAAGCAATTTTTTTTTTTTTTTTTTGAGATGGAGTTTCGCTCTTGTTGCCCAGGCTGGAGTGCAGTGGCGTGATCTCGGCTCACCGCAACCTCCGCCTCCTGGGTTCAAGCTATTCTCCTGCCTCAGCCTCCCAAGTAGTTAGGTTTACAGGCATGCGCCACCACACCTGGCTAATTTTTTGTATTTTTTGTAGAGACAGGGTTTCTCTATGTTGGTCAAACTGATCTCAAACTCCCGACCTCAGGTGATCCGCCCGCCTCGGCCTCCCAAAGTGCCGGGATTACAGGCGTGAGCCACTGCACCCGGCCTGGAAAGCAGTTTTCTTGTCTGGAAAGCAATGCTGCTTGGGAAAGAAGGCTCAGTCAGGAAGCTGCATTCTGAAGTCATTTTTATTCAATAACTAACACCATAATAAGCAGAGTTCCATCTGAGAGGAGAGGAAAGTGAGAAGGGGCCAGAACCCTTTGATGGCTGAGAAGCCTCCTCGAGGCTATGTTGGGGCAGTAGGGAGGCAGACAGATGAAGATCTTAGGGAAGCTCCTGACCCAGCCCAGGCGGCTGCCCACAGGGCAGGAGGAAAGCCCAGGAGGGGAGACAAGACCTCCCTGTTGCAACCAAGAGGCTGAGCAAGACGCTGGTGTTTGCAGCCCACAGCTTCACCCGGGAGGGGCCCAGGCTCCTGCCCTGTGAAAGCCTTTAGGTGTACAGTGGGGGAAAGGGCAGTTCAGCTGTTGGCTGGAGCCTGCAGAAGATACAGGAGATAACCTTGAGGTGCAGGGTCACTGCTCCCAGCCTCCAGGGGACTGTCGGGCGCACACACCCACCATCACCTACCAGTTCTCTGGGCTCCAGGTGGTACCAGAGGCCTCCATGAGGTGGAAAGTGTAGGCCTGGCGCGAGTGGTCAGAGAGGTTCAGCTTGCTCTTGTGCACCACTTCTCCATGGATGAGGACCAGGGCCCCTGGCAGAGACACAAGCAGGTCAGGAACCCACCAGCGCCGCATCCCCCCTCCCCAGGGCAGGAAGGGACACGGGCCCTCCTCCCTCCAGCGGTTTTGTGGCCCCCATCCATCCCCATTCCCTTCCCTGAAAGCTCAGGCACCTACAGCCTCCCACAGGGTGGGAAGCTAAGCTGCTGAGATGCGAGTTCCTCTGGGATCGAGTCCCCTCTGCTGTGGACTGTGGCCTTGGCAAGCCTTAGGAAGGGCCTGCCCTCCCGAGGTCTTTGCAGGATCAGGCAGAAGCCCTCTGCACTGTGCCAGTCCACTGGGACCTCTCCGGTGATGCTGAGTTACACATTGGTTTTCCCTTTTCATAAGAGAAAGGACCCGCCCAACAGCCGACATTGGTTGAGCAGTGGCCATGCACTAGGCAGACTCTGTATCCACGTATTTATCATCTCACTGACTTCCCACTTCACGTTTGGGGACATTCAGGCTCAGGGAGTCAGTCATTTGCCCAGAGAAACAGCCTATAAGTAGCCGAGTGTGGATTCTAGCGTGATCTGGGTCAGCTTGCAGGAAAACATGCGGCTTCCCGACTTCCCAGCCCCCATCCAGCCCTCCTCTTTCTGTGACTTCACTGCCCTCAGATGACCCCGAGGGCAACCTCTTGGATGTCGGGTAGTCGAGCAGGCACAGACTGATGGACTCAGCCCCCTGCCTCTCTGCCCTCTGCATCTGCCTACCTCTCTGCACTGGGGTGGGCACAAAGAGGCTGTTATCCCGGGCTGGCTCTGACCCGAGGAAGCTGGTGCCAGGCACTGAGCCAACAGGGGCCCGGACCATCCTTCTTGACACGCCACCTGCAGGCCAAGATAGAGAGCCTTAAACTCCTTCTTTCTCGGGGTCCCTCTCCCTAGGGGGTGGGGAGTCCCAAGTGGGCAGAAGAGACAGGGTTCCTCACTGGTGTGGGAGCCAGGGATGAACCAGAGACAGCCGTTCTCCAGCGTGGCGTCCTCCACTGCGATCCATACGCCCAGCACCCGGCCCAGGGGCTCCGTGTACAGGAAGGAGGCGTCCTGATGAGGGGAGACTACAGCAGGCCCACGGGGAGTGAGAAGCCCATCCTTTTGCCTGGTCCCACCTCACCTTGGCCTCATTACCCCCTCCTCAGTCCTCTGGGTGCTCTTCAGGGCCAGCCTTCCCACGATTGGTCAGAATCTCATCACTTCCTGGCCCAGGACTCTAAGGCAAAGCGATTTCACCTCTCAAAGCTTCAACTTCCTAAACTGTAAAGTGGCTCCAACAACCACCTACCTCACAGGGTGCTGGAGGATTCTATGAGATGATGTATGAAAAGTGCTTAGGGCCCAACCATGTAACTGCTTGATATAAAGTAGCGCTATTGTTTAATTCCAGTGAGATAACTCAAGCCACCCTTCTTAACCAGGGACAAGTGGCCCCCAGCCACCAGATGGTTCACCCAGTGGCATAAGTTTGGGAAGCTGGAGCTTAGCGCGTTGGCTTACACCTATAATCTCAGCACTTTGGGAGGCCGAGGCGGTTGGATCACCTGAGGTCAGCAATTTAAGACCAGCCTGGCCAACATGGTGAAACCCTGTCTCTACTAAAAATACAAAAATTAGCCGGGTGTGGTGGCGGGCACCTATAATCCCAGCTACTTGGGAGGCTGGGACAGGAGAATTGCTTGAACTCGGGAGGCAGAACTTTCAGTGAGCCGAGATTGCGCCACTGCACTCCAGTCTGGGTGACAGAGAGAGACTCCCTCTCAAAAAAAAAAAAAAGAAGATTGGGAAGTTGGGTGCAAAGCGGGGAGATGCTATGATCAGGCATCCACATTTCTTTATTATTATTTTTTTTTTGAGACAGAGTCTGGCTCTGTCGCCCAGGCTGGAGTGCAGTGGCGTGATCTTGGCTCACTGCAACCTCCACCTTCAGGATTCAAGCGATCCTCCTGCCTCAGCCTCCCAAGTAGCTGGGATTACAGGCATGCACCACCACGCCCGGCTAATTTTCGTATTTTTAGTAGAGATGGGGTTTCACCATGTTGGCCAGGCTGGTCTTGAACTCCTGACCTTAGGTGATCTCCCCCCTCAGCCTCCCAAAGTGCTGGGATTACAGGTGTGAACCACCGCTCCTGGCCAGCATCCACGTTTTTAAAAACCTCCCCCAATGATGCTGGGGCACAGTTAGGATGCGGAACCACCGAACAAAGGAACGTGCTCCTCAACAACAGAATAAACAGGCTCCTGTCTCACCTCCTTCCTTCCCGGGCAACTGCGTGTTTTCTGAACACCAAACTTTAAGACAGACCTCCAAAGGAACGTTTGAAATGGAAGGGATTTGAAACATTTGGGAGAGGAACGGTGGAAGGTACTGGAAGAGCTGGACTCAGGCAGAGAAGGCTAAGGGTGGGGATGGTCATCCCTTTGGGGAACTGCATACAGGCTGAATGGTGGAAGAAGGGGGTGGTCACAAGGAGGCCAACGTGGGCTCATGCAAGGAAGGAAAGGGCTTCCTGAGAGGGGGTGAACTCCCTGTCACCAGAGGTATTTGAACAGAAGTGGATAATCACCTACCAGGGAGGCTGTAAAGGGTGACTGCATGGGGTAGGGCGTGGAACTAGATCAGCAATTTTCGTGGAGTCCTCCTCCAGGAAACTTGTTAGAAACACAGATTCCAGGGCTGGGCGTGGTGGCTCATCCCTGTAATCCTAGCACTTTGGGAGGCTGAGGCAGGTGGATCACCTGAGGTCAGGAGTTCGAGACCAGCCTGGCCAACATGGTGGAACCC